GACAGAGACCTGGACCGATTTCACACAAGAGCTGCGCCACGGTCGTGCCTCACTTTGCCCAACTTCTATTGGTCAATTTCCCACACGAAGCCGTGCGGCCGCATTTTGACCCACGGCATCGCCCGATTTTCCCCGCGGTTTCGTGATCCTGTTTTTTTGTGCTGTTCTTTCCTTCCACTTATAGACCATGTAATTCCTAGGGTTGGCTTAGGGTTGATTCACATGTTACAAAGTCCTTGCGTGCCCCAAATGGCTGCCACAAGGATTTTTGATCAGTGTATGCCTGGAGTTATATGTTCAGAACTTCATTCCCATGCATATGTGGGATCAATTCAGATCAGGAATGTGGTATGGGAAGAGGGGCCATTAAGCCTTCCTTATGCCATTTCCCCATTTCATCAGTACGTAAGTTTCCCCAGTAGGACAATCAGCGGTTCTCCAGGGGCTGCTTCAGGTCAGGAAAATAGTGTCAAGGGGAGGTTTAAATCTATATGGACCATAGTCCCAATTGGAATTGGGCCTGTGTACACACAGGGGAGTTCTGAGCATGGAACTCCCAGTGCACTCTCGACTAAAAGTCCCCAAGGTGGCCATGTGAGGAGTATAAGGACTTTGTAACACATGAATCAGCCCTTAGTAGAGTCTTTGCTTTGTTCAGCTGCCCTCTGCTTCTCCCCCAACAAAATAATCATGCTGAAGGGAATGCTTACATTGCTTAGTGTAACCGACCGGCTGGATACCCTGCTCTGGTTTCTGTACACAGCTCTCTTTCTCATGATCATTCAAAAGCACATGCTTACAAAGCCACAAAACTTTCCATCTAATATTTTCCATAAGTCCTCCGCGGGCCCTTTTTTGGAACCTAGCACATCTGCATGTACAACATGCATTTCACTAATAAGGAAAGGGATAACCAGGTGTTCTCCTCACCCAGGGTGGGGTCCAGAACTGCTGCACTCTCCAGGTCTTCCTTTCTGTTAGCCATGCCTCAAGAAGGGTCTCAGAATTCAGAGAGGCGCTGCGTTGGCAACACTGACTGACATGGGATAGATCTTGGCCTTCCCTGGGCTGGCCTAATAAAGGCTTATGGGGGGGTAGGCTAACCCTGGACTATTCCAGTGTCCTCTCTTCAGAGATGAGCCCATGGTGATTGAAGGGAATCTGAGTCACTGGCTCTCGGGCTGGGCCTTCCCTTCTTCTGCCCCACCCACTCCTGAGGTTTCAAGAGGCAGCACAAGCCACAGGAGGCACCAGCTGCTGTGGTTTCCACCTCTGGCTTGTTCCGAGGTGCACATTGCTTCCTAAGCTCCACCTTCCATATCAGGCGTGCACTGGACCTGTTTTGAGGCTGCACTGCTGCCAGTGCATGTTTGGGCATGGCCTCATTCTTGCTCACTTCCCCACAGCCTCTTGTTGGGCTGCTTGCTTCCATGGTATTTTGGCAAGGCAGTTCCCTGTTGGGGTTTCCTCTGGAGCAGATGAGTACAGGAGCAGGGCCACTACCCCTGGACACAGGTTTTGTTACTTTTTGCTTCATTAACTGTGCAACCCTGAAATCTATTAAGAATCCGACTGAAGCCTGCTTAGGGGCTTACTCACAGGAATATGTTTTTAGGATTACACTTTAAGTAGCTTCAAATAAAATAAAATTGTTCCTTTGTCAAGTTGCCCTACTCTTGTGTATTGAAGGTGGGCGACAAAAATTCACACAGTTTCTAGGATAGTTTTGAACACTAACTTTGTTTTGTTGGGATGAGATTCTTGAAATCTTCCTAATGTGATTGACTAAAAGGTTTGCTCTTCTTTGGTTTCTGCCTTTTGGCACAAATACCTCAATCCTTTTTGTTTGCTCTATGTATTCACCTATAAAAAGTAACCTGTAATTAGAGCTGCTTAAAATAGCAGTAAATTCTATGCCTTTCCCCTATGCTAACCTGCAGGAAAGACATTTGCAAGGGCGCTGCATTGAAATTAGGTAAAAGAAAGGTAAAAGAATGAAATTCAGTGTTCAAAAAGTTGTGCTGGTTCTTTCCTTCCTCAATTTATTTGACTTTTCTTTCTTATTTCTTTCCTGCTGCCCCACCAGAGGAAGCTTGTATTTGAAACGTATCCATAAAAAATGCCACTGCAGACTCAAAAATTGTATGTTTTAAAAGCTTTATATAAATAAATGAACTTCATGTGTTGCATGAACATTTACCAGTTTTAGTGCACACCAACTGTATTTTAAAATTGGGTTGAGACAACGGTATTTTTGTTTCACCTTTAAATGCCAGCCATTCTAAAACAAAGATGCCACATGATATGCTAGGAGGATACTGAGGTTTTTGGAAATTGTCTGAAAGATGGGCATGGGTACAAACTTATTTTTTAAAAAGCTGAAACAAAATTAATTTTAATGGAAATGTTAAAGTGTGGAGTTGACAGAGTATCTCAGTTGTGGTATGTCACATGCTTTGATTTAGTCACACTTTCAGATACTTTTGCTCCATTTCTGTTGACAGACAACATTTCATAAAACATGACATTACACAACTGAGATATTCATTCTGAATTATCCACCAATGTACTTGATATTTGAAAGATACCAGATATGCATTAAAAATAATACTCAACGGATTTTTCCAGTAATCTTGTTATACCCCAACAAAGATAACACAAACAGTGGAAGCACTTTTACCAAGTATTGACATTATAATAGGTATGGGTCTGTAGCATAACACAACTGTAAACAAGTGTTTTTATATAAATCAAAAACAGGAATGTGAAATACCATTCCATACCCTAGACAGAACCCTAGAGAGGTCAGGGGCACAACATCGGTTAGTGATTCCAGGCCCCAGGGAGGCCAGGCTTGTGGTAACCAGGGCCAGGGCCTTCTCAGTGGTGGCTCCTACCTGGTAGAACGAGCTCCCAGAGGAGATCAGGACCCTGTGAGACCTTTCACAGTTCCGCAGGGCCTGCAAGATGGAGCTCTTCCACCAGGCTTTTAATTAGGAGCCGCCGCCACCGCAACCACCAACTGCCTCATGGGAACATGGGGCATTGGGATGGCCCATTTAAGATCGATGGCCCAAAAGATCGAGTTACAGTATTCTGATGGAGCGGTACTGCCGATTTGGGCTTGAGTAACATCTATTGATCACCATCTTGACTTGATTTATTTGACTAAATGATTAATATTAACATAACTGAGCACTTTAATTTTGATAAAATGGTTGTTTTTATGCGTTCTAATGTTTTTTACTTGGCACATGGTGCCCTTGTTTGTTAGCCGCCCTGAGCCCGTTTGCGGGGAGGGCGGGATAAAAATATAATAAATAAATAAATAAATAAATAAATAAATAAATAAATGTTAGTAAAGGGAGAGTAGTTTTGGCTAACGTTTGTCTACCTTTTATAGAATTCTACTGGGATAGACTGGATAAACAAGTTACTATCATAATAGTAATTATAATAATAAGGACACATTTCAGATGTAAATGGAATGGATCAATCCATGCTAGAAATTCATAGCTGGAACAATTACTTATTTTGTTAAAGTAATATAAAACAAAATTAAAATGTTGGGCAAGTACTGTTTATCATTTGAAAGCTCTTTTCCTTACTTTGAATACATTTTTTGGTGGTACAGGTAAGGATTTTAAAATTATAAACAGTTTAAACTGCAAGTTGTATTTCCTTGCTATGGTATAATTTAATTTAAAAAGTTAAAGTGTAGTACATCTGTTAACTGTCTCACATAATCATGCAATTTTGGAAGTGAGAGCCAGTAGGTGGTATTGGAATTTATGGTTAGTGAAATTGCCAGGACTCCCAGTAAAACTGAAGAATATTTTGTTCCTAATTATCAGATAACAGGTACTGTCGTTCAGCAATATACGTTTTCATCCTAACTCTAAATATTTTACTTGAATATTTCAAACTATACAAGTTATTTCAATGTATATGTGTGTTCCTAATCAGAACTGTAAAATCCTGTTTTGGTTTGGGGTTTCTTTGCTATGAATTAGTTTTACTTTTACTGGTTATCAGTATACATAGCCTTTCATTCTCTTTTGTTTTCCAGCTGGCGTGGGAGTATGGAATTCCCTTTTTTGAAACCAGTGCTAAGAACAATATAAACATTGAACATGCCTTTTCAGTACTAGCTCAAGAAATATTGGACAAGGTAGGATTTTGGGAAAACAGGTGAGGATTGAGATGGAAGCAGATTACACTCCCATACCCCTAGATCAAATCCTGTGAACTGAGAGATGTAGTTGAAGTACTAATATGAGCCACTTCTGTGTATTGCAGTCTTTACTACATTGACAAGAGTGGTTTGGAAGAAGCAAAATATATGAGCCAGGAAAGAGGATTTGTAGACATGTGGATCTACTGACTACATACCTATACCAACCTACAAACCCATCTGCAAAAGCAGAAGTGCTTCTGATCACGATGTATTTCAACTGCCATTATATGGCTCAGGAGACTAAATTAGTTCCCTTCCTATCCTGAAGTCTTTTCCAAAGAGCATCTGGACTAAAATATCTACAGGTTGTTACTATCATTTGGCCCTTCACATAGGGACTAAGGTGGACTTGAAGAGATTTAACTCTTCTTAGGATGGCATTGTAAGTGGATGTTAGATCTGAATTCAAAATTTAATTTGGAATGGATGTGAACTAGTTCAGTTTAAAAAAATATTCCTGAATTAATTCCTGAAAGAACACACAAAATCACTGAGGAGGAGGAGGAGATTGGATTTATCCCCCGCCCTTCACTTGGAGTCTCAGAGCAGCTTACAAACTCCTTTCCCTTCCCCTCCCCCTCCCCACAACAGACACCCTGTGAGGTGGGTGGGGCTGAGAGAACTCTGACACAAACTGCTCTTTTTCAAGGACAGCTGTGCCAGAGCTTGTGACTGACCCAAGGTCACATCAGCAGGTGCAAGTGGAGGAGTGGGGAATCAAACCCGGTTCTCCCAGATTAGAGTCCACACACTTAAACACTACACCAAACCAAAGAGGCATAGTGTATGATGAAGCCCAAGGGCTGAATCCTACCACTTTACTACATCGATGATATGAGAAGCTGCCAGCAGAACAGAGTGGTAGGATCCAATTGACATTTTTGTTTCGTAAGTGTTCTTTCAGACACGTGGTTTCCTTTCAATTTGTTTTACATGAACCATTTCCCCCCTACGTTTATCATTATTGTCAATAACCATATATAATAGATCTACAAAACTTCTACTGATCAGAAATGCAATCTTTTTTTGTAACTGACCTAAAGGAGATTGCCTGACCCTCATGTCAGCTGCTTGGGAAGAAAGGAAGAAAAGCATAATACAAGCTGCTTCTAAACATAATTATTTTGGGACTGTGAGAACAATCTTCATAGTAAAAATGTGCAGAGTGGTTCTTATCGGTTTTTTGTAGCCCAAGTATTGTATACATTTATTTAGCATGGAAACCACCTGTGGGAATTCCCATGGGGCCACAATTATTAATTTATTACCAGATTTTGACCCTGCCTTTCTACCCCCATAGGGCCACCATGGCAGCTAATAAATTAGAACATACTAATTAAAATATTATCTTAAAAGCCATTAAAACCAATACACAAATACATCATTAAAACAAGTTAAAATCAAAGCTTCAGGTACAAAAGATAAAAACATCAGTTCAAACATTGGGGAGGAAGGAGGGGTCACTGAGGGAATGCCAAGAGAAACAAAAAAGTCTTCAACCTCTGGCAGAAGACAGCAACAGAAAGGGACAGTGTTGATGGAACAAGACTGGAGTGATATATTCCCTATGACCCACTCTAGTCAACATCCTCGTTCCTCATGTAGACACACGGCAGTAATCTAATCTAGATTAATGCCGTAGAGCTTCATCAATATTTTTTTCTGTCTCTCTGATATCTACAGCTTGACCATTCTGAGTCAGATCAATCCCCTCAAACAGGATTCTGGAGAAGCAGCCTAACAATTTCAAAAATAAATAAGATCTTTGGTAGATGCTGGGATTTTTCCTATGCTTTCCATCTAAGGATAGGCTAAGGCTGTTCTCTTGTTAGTTGGGTGAGTAGACAGGAAGCTAGGTGGCTTCCAGTGGAGTGCATAGGGACTTTGTTAGATTACCTGTCTGTAATGACTTGATCTCATTTCACCATATTTGTCTCAGAAAACATAAAACATGACAATTTAAATGGCAAAAACAAAAAAAAGCTCAGTTTTTAAAGTAATGTGGTTGATTGATTGATTGATTGATTTAGAAAATTTCTATGCAGCCTTTTTGGATTCCTGCTCAACTGAGGTCCCTGCCACACGGCAGGGAAAAGGACGCTCGAACTGCGGCTATTGTGAGCCGCAGCAAAGTTGAGACGGCGCGGCGGGATCTCACGGATCCCCCGAGCCGCGGCGCCGTCGCTCCCCAGCACGATCAGATGCCGGGGAGAAAGCGACGGTGGGGAGGGGAGCCTGGCGAACTGCGCATGCTCACACATGTGCAATTCGGCCAGGAGCCGGGGATGCGCCGGTGCAAGGACGTGCCGGCGATCCCATGGTCAGCGTTGCTGCAGCCCTTCGAAAAGAACCACCTCGGTAGGTGGTTCTTTTTTGGTGCGGAGCAGCGCTGGAAGGGCCGGATCAGGGCCGGAGATGGTACGCTTCCCAGATGTTGCGGTGGGATCGCGCCCGTTTGCTCTGCCCCCGTTCCGTCCCGCTCCCAGCCCAAAAGGCCTCGTATGGACAGGACCTGAGTTACTAATAGTTATTACAATTAAGTAATTAGCACCCTTGTGTGGATGTGTTAAACTGCTGCTTTTTACCACTGGTAGTGACTACAGTTACAATTTATGATAATAGTACTCAATAAACAGTTTTATCCAGTCCAGCATCCATTGTGGAAGGAATATAAATATGTGATAGTAGAAGGCTTGGGAATTAACTGAGGAGAACTTGCAGAACTGTGGAAGAACAGTGTGTATTTCCTGTTTGTTTGGCTCCCAGGTTCCTGTGCATTGCTGTAGCAACTTGTTTTCCTCTGACTATTTGAAGGATGCAGCCATTTGCAAGTCAACAGATACCTGAGAGAGGTTCCAAATATAATTGGCTGTGGAAAAAGGAGGACATAAATTATGAATATTTTCAGCATGGAAGGTTCATGCAAAGATCAGAGGCTACAATAAACTCAGTAAGCTCCGTTCCTCTGTGGAACAGGCTTCCTCGGGAGGTGGTGGGCTCTCCTTCTTTGGAGGTTTCCAAACAGAGGCTAGATGGCCATCTGTCAGCAATGCTGGTTCTGTGAATTTAGGCAAATCGTGAGAGGAGGGCAGGAAGGGTTGCATCAGTGCTTAGTTCTCATGGCCCTTTCTTACACACCCAGGGAAATACCGATTGCCACTTTGGGGTCAGGAAGCAATTTTCTCCAGACCAGTTTGGACAGGGATCCTGGAGATTTTTTTGCCATCTTCTGAGCATGGAGCAGGAGTCACTGTGGTGATGGGGGAGGAATTTGTGAATTTCCTGCATTGTGCAGGGGGTTGAACTAGATGACCCTGGAGATCCCTTCCAAGTCTATGATTCTGTGATTCTAATAGAATCAGAGATTACAATAAGCTCAGTAATAGAACTGCTATTTCCCCAGATAGATATGCTTGGGAGGTAATTTTAAAGGCCAGGAACAAAGATATTTAAAGTGCATTTGTTTATGAATGGAGGCTGTGCATGCACGCTATAAAAATACTCACTAATATTTTGCAAACAACTGATGGTCTTGTAGAATGGTGTTTTCAAGACTATTGCTCACAAGCTGCTTGGAAGTGGCATTCATTAGCCACATCCAACTCTTCCTATGGAGTTTTCTTCCCCACCTCTGATCAGGAGGAGGAAGCTGATGCTAAGCTGAAGCTAACTGTCAACAGCACCTTCCTAAAGACAGCATAACAGGAGTAAAGTCTCCTGCATACACAACTGAAAGAATTTAGAATAAAGTTGGTCTTAGAAACATCTGAACCAACAATTACCACGAAACTCTGTACGCACAACAGAGACAATATAGTTGCTGAACAAATTCTCTCCTTTGTATATGCAAAGGGGGAAATAATAGCATCAGCATCCAGGGTTGAAAAAAAAAGCGTTTTCTGAACCCTACCTGGGAACATCTTGATTGGACATCTTCTCCCACCCCTACCCTTGTTCTCTGTTAGCACTAGGACTTGAATAGATACGTCGCCCAGCATTTTGCTTCCCCAGTACCTTTACCCACAGGTGTTTTTTTTAACCCTATCCTATACAGAAAGCAAAAATTATTTTTGCTAGGTGAAACACATGCCTTTGTTTTAGTTCTGTTTGCTTATGCTTCCATAGCTGTCTTGATTCTATATGACTGAGATGTTCACTACAAACAAAAACGAGAACGCCTAAATTATAGTGATCTGTAGTAGGTGGAATAAGGCCAGCTTGTACTACAACTCTGCCAGCTACCATACTTTGAGTGGTTGTTCCCTAATTTTATAGTTGCCAGGCATTATAGAAGCATGGTTTTTAATAAGGACAGCAGTATGTTCAAGGCAAAGTCAATTAACTTGATTATGGACTGTGGCTATTGTTGGAGATCTAAAAACAAGTTTAGAAAACTGAAATGGAACACCTATTTCATCTATGAGTGAGTTATTGGAGTATTTCTATTCTGCTTTTCTCCCCACTGGGGATTTAAGGTGGCTTACAAGAAAATATAAAAATAAAACAAAGCAACAACTCCTTCGGCATCCTGGGCTAATCCTGGATTAACTGGACTGGTTTATTCAGGGCCACTGACTGCAAGCCATCTGCCAAGGGCCAGGTTCCTTTTCACTCACATCAAAAGCCTCTGGCCACACACAGGCTTAAATACCTGTAGCAGGAAGGGAACAGCCACTCACTGCAAATCTTATTCATCTGGCAAACATCGTCCAAACATTTCCCTCCCGTACTAATTGTAAATTCTATTGATAATGCATTAGATTACATGTGCTTCACAGGATCCAAGCCAGTGTAAAGCAATATCCATGGGTATAGGTCTTCCTTACCCTCCTCCTTCATCCAGTACCTCCCAAGTCCTCCAAAATGCTGACACCAGTGGTTGCAGGACTCACATAGACAAAAAGTCATGCAGGCCATGGACTGCGCTGTGGAGAGGGAAACAGGCTGGTACTGTTCCTGTGCAATGGACTTTCGACTGACAGAAGACAGCAGTTTTGCTAGTTCTCTTTCCTCAGTGAAGTCCCTAGGCCTTGTGGCTTTCCCCCCAAGAGTTTTACAACTTCTAGCATCACCATTTCAGAGGTTTGGGGTCAGCTGGAGGACAGAGGAAAGCCGGAAAGAACTGTGTCCTTATATTTGTGCTCCATAGGATCCAAGCTGCTATATCAATAATCAAAGGCACTTACCCTTCACATAAACTGTTCCAGAAGATTTACCAATTATTTTATGCCTCACTTTACATAGTATCTAAAATTAGGAATAACTGAAGTGTTGCCTTTTTCTGCTATTTAGCAATACTAATATTGCAGGTTCTTCTGCATAATGTCTGTTTTGACAAGATCCAGGAGTCAATTAGCTTCAGATTCAGGGAAATGGCACTGAGCTGTCTGTCTCATGTTAGATGTTTTCACATTATTCTGAGGCTGATTTTCATTCACTTTTGTGAATTCCCTCTTATTTATTTAAAATACTGGTATCCCACCTGTCTATCCAGTTAGGCCCTGAAGCCATAACAGTTATAAAGGCATTAAAACCCAACTTTAAAAGCAGTACATGTAAAAACACATAAAACAAACATGAAATAGGGTCAATCAGGGAAAAGCAGATGAAACAAAAAAATTCATTGCCAGTCTTCTGTACAGTCCCACACTGGGAACTGCGCATGTGCAGGTCAGCTGCTCGGAATTGTTTTGAGCTACTTTTAGCCCTTTAAAACCTAAAGGAGGGAGCCCCTCCCCTTCAGAGCAGGTGCAATTCATACATTCCCTGTTAAATTCTAAACTGGCCCATGCCCTATTTACCTTCTCATAGGGTTTTTCACATCTAGTTGCTGGTCAAGTACTTTACTTAAATAATCATTTTCAGTCTGCTCTTTATATTAAAAGGCTACTAGGCCTTATGGCATCTATGACTGCAGCTTCCCTTATAAATACCTCAAGATGCAACCAGAAGGGGGTGCCTTCTGGGTGTGACATTTAGTATTTCCCCCCCTCGTCCCTTCACTTAAAAGTGCTCTTGTTGAATCACATTTCTGGAGTTGGATTTGAATTAATATCATTTAATGTTTTGTATTTATTACTTTTATTTTGTAAGCTGCCTTGGGCAGGTTCCTGGAGAGGCAGGATAAAAATGTTCTAAACAAACAAACTTACTGCCTAAATGCTATACCTTTATCATATAATGGATTTTGGTATTTGTTCTTTAATCTTTTTAAGGGAATGAAAAATCTAGGATAGCAAATGTAGCCCAGAATTTACTGGTCCTAGACTAGACTTCAAAAATTGAGGTTCATGTTCAGCTAAGGTTGTGGTGGGCTGGCTTTGGACAAGCCACTCACTGCCTCAGTTCCCAGTTTGTGAAACAGGGAATATTTGTGGTTGGTCTTTTACAAGGTATGTGTTTGAATTATGATGCAAGCAAGTCTGTGACCCACAGCTTGCTTCTTTCATAATACTAGACAGGAATTTCACAGTAGCAGAAATATCTGAATGCTCCATCAACATGAATAGGTTAAATAAATATTTACAATGATAACTTAAACTTGTAAAAAAATTCAGTGCCAGATTGGTTAAAAATATTTGTCAGATTTCTGTCAAAAAGGTAAAAAGTACTTGTGTACTTTGTAAGATCTGTTAAGTTGTTAATAACATAATGAAAACCAGTGGTTAGATCCAAAGGTTCCCTTCCACTAGCACAGGGGTGGCCAAACCTGCTTAACATAAGAGCCACATAGAATAAACGTCAGATGTTTAAGAGCCACAAGACATGAACAAATATTACACTGTTTTACTGGGAAATATGCAAATTTGCTTCTTATTAACATTAACTGAGACTGCAAAAAATAATAACAAAAGCGGTAAAAAGCAGATATTGATAATGATATTTATTTGTCCAATGATATTTGTTTGCTAATGATATTTAGCTTCCCCAGCCCCCCTGCTGGGAGCCACACAACATGTGCGAAAGAGCCGCATGCGGCTCCCGAGCCACAGTCTGGCCACCCCTGCGCTAGCAGAAGACCCTCACACCAGCACAACATCTCTCTTTCACCATGCAGAAGTTTTTGTGCCACCAAAGGTTTCAGAACAGAACCTTGGAATCCATTCCTAAGCCTTTACTAATAGACAAGCATTTGGGCTAGATCATAGTTCTAAAGAAATGCAATATTTACTTTTTTAAAAAGTCAGTCAGACAAATGTGGATGGCAACCCAGTTCTCAGTTGCCACCAAACATTTGATGCTCTCTCTCCAGAGACATTCCCGTGTCCCCTTCTGTTACTGCCTTCTGCCAGCAGACAAAAGCATTTTAGTTTCATCTGGTATTCACTGAGTGATCCCTCCTCCTGCCCTATGTTTTAATAGTTATTTAATGTTTTGTATGTGTATTTTAGCTTAGTTTTAATGATATGCTTTTGTTTGGTTTTAATGATTTTTAAAGTGTGTCTTTATTATGTTTGTTTTTAATCTCTTAGCTGCCTTGGTGGCCTTGATGAGGACAGAAAGGCATGGTATAAATTGTGTAAAAAAATCTTTTACTTTGTTTTAAAAATGTGTCGACCTAATTACTTAAAGCAATGAATTCTTTGCTTGCTACAGTAACCATACCTAAGCTGCCTGCAAATATTAGGATGGTGCTTTGCACAGTTCTCTCATATTTCGTGTAGGAAACTAGTGGCCAAATAGTTCTTCTAGCCTGCTACAGAGGTTCCCCAGTAACAAGCTGCCTTAGAATAACTGCTGTATGTAACTTCATAGAAAATGGTAGCCACATATTCATTTCCAGGTGAAATTTTAAGTAGCTTAATTAAGTAAAAAATTGTACTCCTGATCATTTGAACAGGATCTCTGCTGAGTATTACCCCGCTGCAAAATACAGTTCTTTCACCAATTGTTTCTTCTAGCAGTCCTCATGTAGATGTTGTATGTTCTTTGAAAATATATGTGAGAATAGGCACACACATGCTTATTTTGTGAGATACTGTATAGAGCAATAAAATATTCTAATATGTATATTTCTTTATTAACATACTAGCATTTAAACAAAGAGTTCTCGATATTTCTTCACCTTGTAAGATCCAATCTAGATATGATGGTAGCCATCATTTATGGGTCTATATCAGACCCTTCAGTTTACAAGGGTTTCACAATAATAGTACAGTCGTAAGCAGAATTACCTTTCTATGTCCACTGAATGGCAGGTCTTCAACAGTAAAATATCTGGGAGAGGGGTACAGAATCCTCCCACCTTCTTCATGCATTCTGTTGTACCAGCTGCTTTTCTGCCTTACCACCTTCAATAAGAGAAGTGAGCAGGAAATAGAGAAAAGTGGCTGGAACAACAAAATGACGGGGGAGGTAAGGTTTGGAATGAGTAGAAGTTCAGTTCTCTTCTATGTACTCTTTTTACTGTTGAGATACAAAACATAGACATTGCTTAGATACTGTGAGAAGAAGAAGAAATTAGATTTATACCCTGCCCTTCACTCGGCGTCTCAGAGCGGCTTACAAACTCCTTTCCCTTCCCCTCTCTACAGCAGATACCCTGTGAGGCTGAGATATTTCAAGAGCTGCTCTTTCAAGAACAGCTCTGACAGAACCATGGCTTGCCCACGGTCATCCAGCAACTGTAAGTGGAGAAGTGAGGAATCAAACCCGGTTCTCTCAGATTAGAGTCCACGTACTTAACCACTACACCAAACAGAGTTCATCTTGATTTACAGATTTCAGTGGACATAGAAAAGTAACTCTGTTTTTGACTGTGATACTCCTTGTAAACTGAAGGGTCTGATAAAATTCATAATGATTTAAACCCAAATTATTTGCAATTCTAAAGTCTGTAGGCACTGGGCTAAATTCAGTATTTCCTTTTTGCTTTGTTTTTCAGAGCTCCTGCATACCACTCAGCTCAGATGTGGTAGACCTCAGTGGAAATGCACAAAAAAGAACTTGCTGCAAATTATGACTGACAATTTTGTTTTCATTTGTCTGGTTGTTGTTTATTTTCTAGATACCAACTCTAAAAATAATTTCTGTCTCCAGTTCCCATATTTTACAGTGTAAGCGTACGTAACTAGAAATGCCATTGGGGTGTGTTTTCCATACTAAAAAGCAACTGAGGTAAGAAAATGAGAAAATCCAGAGGTATGGGCTGGATTGTAAGCAGATGACTCCCAGCTGTGTTATTGGACGGCCATCCGTCCTCCACTCCTTATAATCTGGCTGAGGCTTTGGAGGCTGGTTGTGGCAGAGCCAGTTGAAGCTTAATCCAGCGAAGACAGAGGTCCTGTACCTGAGTCAGAGGGGGAATGGATATGGTTATTAGACTCCCCAGTCTGGAAGGGGGTGCTTTTGGTGCCAACCCAGAAAGTGAGGAGCCTGGGAGTAACACTGGGTGCCTCTCTTTCCATGGAGGCCCAGGTTACTGCAGTCGCCAGGTTTGCCTTTTTCCATCTTAGGCAGATTAGGTTACTGAGACCCTATCTCTCCCCACAGGACCTAGCTACAGTGACCCATGCAATGGTCACTTCCAGGCTTGATTATGGCAGTTTGCTCTATGCAGGCTTACCCGTGAGGCTGAACTGGAAATTACAGCTGGTGCAAAATGCAGCGGCACGCCTGCTGACGGCGATGCTTGTATGGGCCCACATTTGGCAGGTGCTCTGCCAACTGCATTGGCTACAAGTTGAGTTCTGGATTCACTTCACAGTGTTGGTAGTAACCTTTAAATCCTTACATGGCCTGGGACCAACATATCTGAGGGACCGCCGCTTCCCGTGTACACCCTGAAGAGTGTTACATTCCATGGATCAACATCTCCTGGTGATCCCTGGCCCAAAAGATGTCTGTCTTGCCTTGACCAGGGCCAGGGCTTTCTCTGCTCTGGCCCCTGCCTGGTGGAACATGCTCCCCATTGAGATTAGAGCCCTGTGGGATCTTCTTCAATTCTGCAGGGCCTGCAAGACAAAGCTGTCCCACCAGGCCTTCAGCTGAGGCAGTGGGCACTCATATACACCCCCCCCACGGTTGCTGTCACCCATCCAATAGCTCCTGGCTATTATTTATCTGTTACCAATGGGCCAAGGAACTTCTCACAACCAGCCAATTTCTGTCCTTGGATTGTGACCACCATTTTAATGTATATTGCGGTGTTTTAAAAACTTTTAAATTATATTTATTGTATTACTGAAATGTTGTTAACTGCCTTGAACCCACTTGCAGGAAGCAGGCTATAAATATGAAAAAATAATAAAATAGTAATAATAATAATAACCTGAACCCATTTAACATATTGGGGTGGGAAACTACCCCAGGACTTCATTAAGTTTACTGTTGAGCACCGATTTTAATTGTAATGATTATTTATTGGTTTTAAATTGTTTTATGTATGGCATTTGCCTCTTATGTTAGCCGCCCTGAGCCCATGTGGAAGGGTGGGATATAAATCTAATAAATAAATAAATAAAATTAAGAAAACTGTGATTCAGGAAACCATCTTTAAGTGCTGTGGAGAGATACAGGTTTGTTAGATGATGGCGACTTCTGCCCTGTCATTTTTGTCATTTGTTTGTCCCTATTGCTTCAGGGTCTCTCCCCCCCCCCCCCAATATGTTTTGTTTTCTCTAGTAGTCCCAGAGGGGGCAAAACACATGTGGAAAAGGGAGGGAACCCCAAGCAACAGGGAAAATGAGTGACAAAAGCTGGAAAGTGCACTGAAAGCGAATTGAAAGTGGATTATTTAGTGTGTGTGATTGTAGCCAAAGTGTGTTTTTGTACTATGAAACACAATGATTTCTGCCACCACAAACGAAACTGTTTGTGGAACTTTTTCTACCCCAAAATACAATGAAATTTAACTTGGAGAAGAAATATGTTCCAAATGCAATATATCTTAGTTTTTTCCTGGGGTTGTTAGTGGGTTCAGTATGCAAAATATCAGTATTGAGATTAACAATGCAAATAATAACAGTATGTCAAATAACACTGTATTTTATTGCTTGGTACAAATGTTTAAAATGCATCTATGATGTGTTCTTGAGATCATTATTGTAAAGTTTGTTCAGGTGCAAGTGTAAGAAATATATACTTATTTCATGAAAAAGTTGGCCATAGTTGTTTGTTTACACAGGAAACCTTAAAAGTCTAGGCTAGAAACTTTCAGTTGAAGATATGCATACAATAAGATGTTATGTAGAAGAACAAAGGATTTCTGTCCACTGTAATATGGAAGGGCTATCCAGTGTGTGATTTTGCTTAATATACAGTTCAGTTCTAAGTACTGTTCTTCAAGCCATTTTGATGATCTTTATGACAGATTCGTAATGTTTTCATTTGTAAATCTTTTTACTCGACATAAATATGTTCATGATAGTAAAAAATTGGGTGGGGGTGCTTAAGACAAGTTTTGGAGACATCTAAATTTGTATTGTTCCCTTATAGAAGTTGCAGTTGAGGTTGTTCAGTGGTATGATTTAACCATCAATATTTTTATGACTTTCTGGTAATGATCTACCTACCTCTGATGTTAATATACTTTATATACACATCTATATTGTAGATTCAGATAGGTAGCCATGTCAGTCCGAAGCAACAGAACAAAGTTTAAGTCCAGTGGCACCTTTAAGACCAACAAAGTTTAATTATGGTTATAAGGCTTCCGTGTGTATGCACACTTCTTCAGATACATTGAAACAGACTTCCTCAAGCCTTACATATAGGTTGGGGGGGTTAATTGCCAGGAAAGGCTAGTTAGAGCCAAGAAGCACAAGTAACTGAGCGATAGGTGTATCTAAGATTGAATAGCAGCAAATTAGTAAAGAGATAATAAAAGAGTCGACAACAGATGTGAGAATTCTCTCTTTTTTGGTATTTTTTAGTATTTTTTAATATGTGCATGTGTATGTGTGTAGGTGTGTTTGCACCTGGAAGCAGTGTTAGTGTGAGCTTGCTCACAGTTTTTTAGCCTCCAGCTCACAGATTTTTATCTTAGCTCAGGAAGGAGGGCTCCAGAGCAAACTGATTTATTCAGCAGCCAAACCGCTTGCTCACAACTTTAATGCCGGTAGCTCACAAAGTAGAATTTTTGCTCACAAGACTCCACAGCTTAGAGGGAACATTGCCTGGAAGTAATGGCAACCTCTGGTGACTGACCCCTACTAGGGGCTTGGAGGATATTCAGAGAGGTGGCTGCATAAAGCCTGCCCCTACCGCCTGCCTCTGGTATTTCAAGGCAGTCTCCCATCCAAGTATTTATCAGAGTCAACCGTGCTTAGCTTCCAAGATCGGGCTTGCCTAGGATATCCAGGTCAGGGCAAGATATTGCATTCTTAACTTACTACACATGGTAAGTCACTCAGTTCTCTTGCTTATACCCAGAATTAAACTTTGTTGGTCTTAAAGGTGCCACTGGACTCAGACTTAGTTCTCTCATCCCTCAGCCTCTCCTTCCCTGAGCCCCACTGCTTCTGTGGGAAACACAAGAGGGATGAGAACTGGGGGTGAGGGATCTGGGAGAGCCAGGTTCAGACTCCCCCCCCCTCCTGAGCCAGGACCCTGTCTTCTGGGTCATGCTCAGCCTGGTGCACCTCACAAGGGTGGTGGGGATGGGGTGGTGGAGGGAGGAGTCTGGTGGGCCTCCTCAAGATCCTCAGAAGTAGGATGGGGCAGGAGAGGAAACAAAGAGCAAGAGACGAATCATAGCCATGCTCAGCTTCTGAGGCTGGGCGTATGGGGGGGAGGGGCTGAGAAACCTCTGTCAGAAGCTGTGTGAATGGCTAGATCATAGCAACTTACTTGAAACTGAACAAGCTGGTTTCACACCTGGGCTTAGTTCTCTCATCCCTCAGCCTCTCCTATTGATCATTGCTTAGTCCTAGATTATTTTATTTTAAAATATGTGAAACATCAGAAAAACCACCTTATTTACTTGCAGGTATAATGACTCATCTCTAAAAGTGCTATATATGCAAAAAGTAGTTAATTTGTATGGAAGTGTAAGATATCCCCCTTTTATGGTATCCTGTGGGAGAAAATAACTTGTCTTGCATATGATTAAATACATTTATTGGGGCTTTTGTGGATTCCCCAGTAAAATCAGTTGCTTTTACTACTAAGAATCAATTGTTTTTGTTTGTATTTTGAGTAAAAAATAATATTGTTAATTGGGTTTGCCTGTGTCCTTTATAAAGTTTATATCTCCAGTACCTGGAATTACATTTTATGGCATACATGGCTTGGCCCAACAAAGTAACATTTGTGTCAAATCCAGCCCTCCTAACAAATTAGTTCAACATCCCTAGTCCAATAATGAGCTGGGGTAGGAAGGGGAACATTTGGGAAAGCCTGCTAGTCTGGATAAGCAGGAGTTGTTGTGGAAGGGGAATCAAATTCTCATTTTGCTCTGAATGTCTCCATTTTTTATAGATTCCATTTCACTTAAGAAGAATTAAGAACAGTTTCTTTTAAAAAGTGCAATGATGTATAAATACAGCTGCCCAGACCTGGATTGCCCAGGCTAACCCGAGTTCATCAGATCTCTGAAGCTAAGTAGAGTCAACCCTGGTTAGTACTTGAATGGAAGACCACCAAGGAAGTCCAGCGCTGCTATGCAGAGGCAGGCAATGGCAAGCCACTTCTGGACATCTCTTGCTTTGAAAGCACTGTGGGGGTCGCCATAAGTCCACTGCCACTTGATGGCAAAAAAAGTTAAAGCAACATTACTGCTAGGCATTAGCATTCTTCTTGATATAGCATGAGGTTAAAAAAGGTGTGTGTACAATGAAAAGCAGTGATCATTGACAAGTCAGTAATGTTAGAACCATGTGTGATGATTCCTTGTGTTAGAGTGTGTGTGTGTCTCTCTTTAAAGGTTTGGTTGCAGTGCAGGATGCAGAGTAGAATGATGGAAAGGGACATGTGGAGCAATGTTCCCTCTAAGCTGTGGAGTCTTGTGAGCAAAAATTCTAC